CGGCCTACACCCTTTTCAATCTAGGACCCCTCGGGGGATGTTCTACTGCCTCTCACAATCCGGGATCACTGGCTCCTAACTGCTAGCCTGCCTGCTTGCCTGATCACCCCTTACCACCACCTCTGCCTGCCTGACTGATAGCCCCTAACTGCTCCCCTGCTGGCCTGATTGCTCCTAACTGCCTCTGCCTCGCTCTGCACCCAGGACCCAGGATTCCCTCCTCCAGCCAGTTGCAGGCACCTGGGACCCAGGCTGGCTTCACCTGGGCTAGCCACAGCCGCAGGGGAGAGTGTTATAGGCAGAATAATGGGTGGGTGGCTTGTTCCTCTCATGGGCCAGAGGCACAGGTGTAGTCTCTGGTACCCGGGATTTCGGGGTGGGCAGTTTGTCCCTCTCCCGGGTCACAGCCTGGCTGTTCCCCATTCCTCTCTCCCCAATGTTGAGTGTCTGAGCCATTACAGCACGACAGCATGAGGGCATGATAGCCATTTGTATATCAGCTCTTTATTATATAGGATTTCTGGAGGTCAGAAGTCTGAGATGGGTCTCACTGGGCTAAAATCAAGGTGTCATCAGGGTTGCAGTCCTTTCTAGGAGAATCTGTTTCCCTGCTTTTTCTAGTATCTAGAGCACATGTGTCAAACACAAGGCCCGCGGGCCAAATCCGTCCCGCCAGGCCTTGCAATGTGGCCCGCACCGCGCTGTCATCACTGCACTCCGCTGCGTTTCCATCACAATGACAGTTTATGACTGTTCAGTAAACCATTCGACCCGAGATTTAGGCTGGATTTTAGATTTTGGCCCCTTCTCTGATTGAGTTCGACACCCCTAATCTAGAGGCTGCTTTCATTTTCTGGCTTATGGCCCCTTCCTTCATTTTCAAAGACAGCAACATTGCATTCAGTCATCTCTCTCACTGACCACAGCTGGGAAGGTTTCACTTCTTTTAAGTACCCACGTGATCAGTGTGGGCCCTCCCAGATAATCCAGGATAGTCTCACTATTTTAGGGACTTTAACTGATAACATCTGCCAAGTTCCTTTTGGCCTGTGAGGTAACATGTTCACAGGTTCCAGGGACAAGGACATGGCCATCCTTGGGGGTTGGGAGGGGGCATTATTCTGCCTACAACACTCTCCACTGCCTGGTGCTTCTCTACTATCATTGAAATCTAGAAAATCCCGACTAATAGAGATTTGATTAACCAGCTCTGGGGAATTTGAATTGCAAAAAGGTATATTTTGCTTTAGTAGTGTTTAGCTGCCAGGATGCTTATTTTGAAACTTAAATTCCCAGACACTAACCTCAAATGAACCTTTTGGACTGCCCCGCAATCCTGCAACATTGCTGGTCCATTGGTCTCCCTCTCTTCCTCTCCTCTGTCCTTAAACCCCCAGTACCTCCTGTCCATCCTCACTCCTAGCATGTAAAATTGCTTCCTATTTCACTGAAAATGGAGAGGCAATCTGGAGAGAAATTATACATTCTTCTCATCGACTTGCATCTGCACCATATAACTGATGTGCTTGAGAGAAAGTCAAAGTCCCTACCTGTGCTCTGGATCCCATCCCTGCAGTCCATGCTAGGCAATCACCCCAGTAATTTCCCAACCTCCCAACCTTCTATTTCTCCCTCTCTATGGCGAATCCCAGAAGCTGGTGAACATATTATAACATCACTTATCTGAGCCCTGAAGACACCAGACTCAAAGGGTGAGGAGGCTCTTCAAACAGATACCCGTAAACAAATCCCTATACTCATCCTAAAGTGGCAAAGAGCTAAAATGTGAGCTTAGATATATTTCCATTTTCATTTACCCATTGTCTCATTAGGCTTGCTATCATTTCTTTCGGTTCTAGGTCCACTGTATTTATTTTCCTGAGTAAATAATTCACACAATGAATCTGACCCTACTGAGAACCTCCATTTGGGGGTTTGCATGGAACCAAGTGGCCATCCTCTGATCAAAGTTGCAGTCAAAGATGCATTTGAAGGATCTTGATAAAATTTAATGTCTATAATCATTTGCGCAAAACAATAGCATCAGTAATCCTGGGTGATGTCTATTAATTTCCATCCCACCACACAACCCCTTTTCTCCTCCATAAGAAAATATTTATAAAACAATAGTTCCTGCCCTAGCTGGTTTGGCTCAGTGGACAGAGCTTCAACATGCAGACTGAAAGGTTCCCGGTTCAATTCCAGTCAAGGGCACATGCCTCGGTTGCAAACTCCATCCCCAGTAGTGGGTGTGCAGGAGGCAGCCGATCAATGATTCTCTTTCATTATTAATGTTTTTATCTCCCTTTCCCTTCCTCTCTGAAATAAAAAATATTTTTAAAAACCACACACACACACACACTAGCTCCCATTTTCTATCAAAAAAGCTCCGATAGCATGAACATTTCTGGGCATCTGGATAGAGTGAATCTTTTCCTGAATGTGATGTACATAGGCTCAGAAATGAGCAATGCAGATAGAACTTCCAGCAAACACATTTTATAAAGTTGTCTGCTTGTTAAAGGTTATTTATTTAGCAGACTCTTTAAAAGCAGGGACAAAGAGGAATGCCAAATCAACTGGGTTTAAAAATAAAACTACAAATAATATTTGTTCCCTGATATCTTATCTGGTGTGCATCCAATGTAGGTTTCACATCACTTTTTAGAGTCACCATTCCCTCCACTACAAAGTGGGCTTGCCAACAACATTTTTGTATTTCTTTTCTTTTCCTTTTTTCTTTTTAGGAACTGAAAGAACATCTCTGCTTGTGAAGGGGAGCCAGGACTCTCAGGCTTCACATGGGCCACCATTTGAGCTAATGAGGAGAAGGCAGGCCTCATGTCCACCTACAACCAAACCATGGCAAGGTGGGGCAGGATGGGTCTGCCCTAGGGGGAAGCAATAACCCTCCTGACAGTGATCAGTACTCATTCGCCATCAATTGTCAAAGTGCTTTATTTCTTAATTGAGCTGAGGATCTCTTGGTGTTAGATTGACATGAAAAGATGTAACAGGGGCAGGGATTTCCTCCTGGAAGGAGCTGGCTGTGGCTGTGGTAGCCAGGAGCACATGCCTAGGAAGCCCAGGAGTAGGACAGGAGTGAGATGTGTGTCTCACTAGCCCCTTGCCCTCATCTCCCTCTTCCTTCTCCTGAACTCTTAGACCTCCAGCAGAGTCTAAGATTTCAGCTGAAAGAATAAAAATGTCCTTAGGAGTCTGCATCCAATAGAAACTGTGGGATCAGTGTTTCTGTGCTGCTCTTTCTAGTAAACAAAACGGAGACTTTTAATGCAGAAGTGCACTGACCAAGCTCATAGTTGAAGGGAGTGAGGGGACAAGCCTCAAATCCTATATTTTTAAGATGTCTAAGTCAGTGCCCTTAGTGTGAGCCACAGATGATCCAAGAAAGCCATAATGCCAGCATGGTTATTTTTAAAAATATATTTTTATTGATTTTAGAGAGGAAGGGAGAGGGAGAGAGAGAGAAGCATCAATGATGAGAGAGAACCACTGATCAGCTGCCTCCTGCATGCCCCACCGAGGATCAAGCCCACAACCCAGGCATGTGCCCTTGACCAGAATCAAACCCAGGACCCTTCAGTCTGCTGGCCAATGCTCTATCCACTGAGCCAAACCAGCTTGGGCTGCCGTGGTGGTTACTGACAGACTGTAAGTACATATCTGTGTATATAGCAAGCCTGCTCAACAACTCTACATGGGCACTTGGGGCCTGATAGTGCTTGTTGTGGGGTACTGTCCTGTGTGCTTGACAGCATCCTGGCTTCTACCCAGTACATGTAAGTTGCATCCTTCTCCAAGCTGTGACAACTAAGTTTTGCTAGATATAGATGTGTGTGTGTGTGTGTGTGTGTGATATGAATTATTTTATAAATAAATATTCAGGATTCATCCCCTCAAGCCCTAGTAAAAGGAAAAAAAAGTAGAATTTCTTAAGACATTGAAATCCTCCAAAGGAATATTGTAGCTTTTAGATGCTTGTTATCCCTTTACATTTCAGGCACCCAGCCAATGTTGCTTGTTATGGTGGGTTTACTGTATTTGTATAACACCATAGCTTTTCGTTCCACCTCAGATTACATTTCTGCTCCATGCTAATACAAATCGTAAAGCACCCTTATAGAGGATAGTAAACGTTCAGAAACAGACTTTTATGGATGGAAGGACTTCAAATATATGCCTTTTCATTTTGAACAGAATCAGGATCTGTATGTGTGAGAACATCATACTACCAAGCCTGGCTTGCTCCAGAGTCACAGTTGTGAACCCCAACATACACATGCAAGTGAAGGACTGGATAAAAATGAGTTAACGTTGGCATAATCCCTGATTGGGGGTTTGCATAAGGTCAAATGACAAGTTTAATAGATGGTTAAAACATTCTTTTCAACTGGTTATTTTGAAATCATGTTGAGATATACATGCGTTTTCTTCTAAACCTTTAAACTCACCTTTCTGACACTTCTAATTGCTTGTTCTGAAGCCTTGTGGACTGTTGAGATATGCATGGCTTTCCTTTTTTTTATAAAACCTATTTTTATTGATTTCAGAGAGGAAGGGACAGGGAGAGAGACATAGAAACATCAATGAAGAGAGAGAATCATGGATCGGCTGCCTCTTACATGCCCCTGATTGGGGATGGAGCCTGCAACCCAGTCATGTGCCATGACCAGGAATTGAACCATGACCTGTTGGTCCACAGGTCGATGCTCAACCAATGTGCTATGTCGGCCGGGCCACAGCTTTCCTTTTGAATGCCCCATGCTGACCTTCCCTTTAAGTCAACATGTTAGTTGCCTTGTAAATTGCCCCTCTTGAACGTGTCTTTTAAAATGGACACTAATGCCAGCCAAGAACTAAGAGGCTGCAGTTTCCTTCCTGTGTGACGTCAGCTCTGAGCTGACTCTGCACCCTGCAGCTTGGGCAGAGCAGATGTGTGACTCGCCATGTCCCTGATGGAATAACAGACAGGGCCTTACCTTTGGGAATGGTGATCTGGCAGCTCAGGTCACAGTCCTGTTGCAACTGATAAAACGCCACTTCCTGCAACCTGGCTCGCTCCAGCTCCGAGAGGCTCTGGATGGGAACTGACCTCAGCCGTACGCTGCGGCCCGACATGCTGTTCCAGGTGAAGTCACCCTGCAGACCCAGGGGAGAAACAGCAAGAGTTACACATCTACCTAGATCTCACAGGTCTCATCCTCTTCATTAGTCACAAAGTCAAGCCAACTTTACCCTTTTGTTCAAAAATTCCTTCTCGATGCCTAAAATCAAATCCACTCTTAGATAACCATGGCTTTTCCCAGGTAGTTGCAAACATCAAAATCCCGAGCGCCTGCCGGAGCCCCTGGTCCCATGTAATGATGCACACACAGGCCGAGGAAAATGCTGCAGAAGGTGCTGCCAGGATCCTCCTCCTCTAGTTATTTATTTTTAAATCTTTATTGTTGAAAGTATTACACATGTCTTCTTCCTTCCTTTTATTTATTTATTTTTAAATCTTTATTTTATTTTATTTTTAAAAATATTTTTATTGATTTCAGAGAGAAAGGGATAGAAACATCAATGATGAGAGAGAATCATGGATCGGCTGCCTCCTGCATGCACCTACTGGGGATCATTCCCAAAACTCATGCATGCGCCCTTGACCAGAATGGAATCTGGGACCCTTCAGTCCTCAGGCCGATGCTCTCCCTTCTGAGCAAAACCAGCTAGGGCTTTAAATATTGTTGAAAGTATTACATATGTTTCCTAATTTCCTGTCTTTTATTGAATCACATGGAAACTATGTGATTAATGTTTTTTTGGTTTTGTATCTCAGTAACAGGAAAAACTGCTGCTAATTGCCATCATGTGCACTAAGATACAGAAGGATCAATGTGTACTGATACCCTACTGTGTACCAGCGACTGTGCCAAGAGCTTTTTAGTTATTTCCTCCACCAATCTTATGAGGTGCTTATTGCTTTTGACCTTATCTGATACACACTGAGTGGCCAGATGATGATGATCTCTGAATGCATAATAATCTGGCCACTCAGTGTATATCTTATATAATAAAAGAACAACATTCAAATTGTCCCCTCAACCAGGAGTTCGACCAGCAGGCAGGCCGGCCAACCACCCATATCCCCTCCACCTGGCCAGGCTGGCTGGACCCCACCATGCACTAATTCATGCACTGGGCCTCTAAAACACACACACACACACACACACACACACACACACACACACACACACTGAGTGGCATGATTATTATGCTTGCAGCTATCAATAATCTGGCCACTCAGTGTATATGTAAATTTAATGAATCCATTCCAGACACACAAATGATTCCCTGATTTAACATTCTTAGATACAGTATATGTCTGAAATACTTACTGTTTAATCTAAAGAGAAATATTTGTTTTCCTACATTTATGGAAGCACCCCGTGCTAGCCTTAAATGAATTACATTCCCCACTCCTTTCAGGGGCATCTTTCAAGAGGACAGGATGCAGCATCTTGGACTTTTCACACATCCTTGCCTCCCACATGCTATCACTGGCCAACCACTCTTCATTTATCCCAACCAACAACCATTTTCTACCTCTTCAATTGCCTGTGGTTGTTGTTTTGTGGACATGTTCACACCCTTACCAACATTGGCGCTCTTGATGGCCTCTTTTTATTTTAAAATTGTGCTGTTTAGATTTGGCCACCAACAAAAACATCCTCTCCTTTGTTTGTGGCATGAGACATGCTTTGTGTCAGGAAGAGGTATCAGCATAAAAGGATTGTCAGGTCAAGAACTGAAATTTTATTGCACAACTGGTATAGTTTTTTTTTCTTAGAACGACTCGGTCTAAAACCATATTGTTTGATATTGGAGATATTAGAGAATTAGGTTTGACTGTCACTGTTTCACTGATGGTTCACTACATGTTACAGTTGTACCAAAAGCAATGTAAGTATTAGTAATAAGGGAAATTGGGTATGGGGTATATGGGTATTATTTTCACACTTTTTCTTCTCTCTCTCTTTTTTTATATATTTTTTTATTTTGCTTCTGTTATTATATTTAATTTCTTTATTGATTAAGGTATCACATATTTGTCCTTATCCCCACATTCCCATCCCAAACCCCTCCCCATGCATGTTCCCACCCCCCCTGTTGTCCATGACTACTGGTTAGGCTTATATCTTCACAATTTTTCTGTAAATCTAAAACTATTCTAAAATAAAACATCTATTAAAACAACACATAACATACTAGGTAATGGTGATATCTGGGGGATAGGGGAATGGACCACTGAAATATGGGAAATGGCTTAGAGGAAACACCACCTCCCTGCCATATGCTGGACAATAACTGAACCAGAGGAAATGAGGAAGAGAGAGGTCAGTTGGAGAAAAACTTTTGGCGGTATTGAGGAAGCTCCCCTTTCTCTAACCAGAGCATCTGAGTCCTCTGCATCCTCTCCCACCTCCCCCTCCTGGATGGTCAAGCTGAGGCTTTGTGATGTCAAGCCACACCATGGCAACCACTGACTGTTGGCCAATCAGAGCTGAAGGGTGTGGCTCCTCATTGTCCTAGAGAGTATATATAGAGGCCAGGAGCCTTGGAGTAAGGTCTGTTGCTACAACAAAGCCAAAGTTACTAAGAAAATACTAGACTAGTTTAGATAAGGAATCAGATTCCAACCACAAGGATGGAGGAAGACACTTCAAGTAGTAAAGTGAACTGCAAGTCAGTTTACCCACTCAATGACAAAGAGAAGAAGAAGGTCAGTTACCCTACTCATATGCTTCCTCTTCCCCAGTAATTCCTCACCCAAGATTCTGGCCTTGTGCTTTTTTGGCACAGACACTTCCTCATTCAATCCCTTGTCATTCTATTATAAGCCCCTTTCCCAGCCATTTCCCAATTTCTCCCCCAAAACCAATGTCTTTCTGTGTTTAACTTGTTTCCCAACTAGGTAAAGAAGATAATGACTTTGGTGAATTCCGTCCTTAAGAAGAAGAAGGACAAGAAGCGAAAAGGCAGAAAGAGAAGGATAAATGTATTTCACTGCAGGATGGGCACAAAACCTCCAGTAAGCGAGCCAACAAACGAACAAGTACAAGTTCCTGAATGTTCTTCTTCCACAAGTGATGCCCAGGCCCAACAAGAAGAAGACCCTTAAAAATGTTTAAGAGATGGGCATTATGAGATCAAAACATAAATGGTCTCCTTAAATAAATACCAGTTTGTGTATAAAGGAAATGTGTTTGTATTTTTGTGTGTTCTGTGATGATGGGGAGGGAACAAAGGGGGCAGGTATGTGAGAAGGGAGGGATGTAGAATTCTACAAGTTTGGGCACCAGACCAGCCATTTCAAAGTTAGTCAGACCCTGAGAATAAGGACAAAGTGAAGACTGAGGATGTGTTTTTTTTTCTTTTACACTTTATTATACTCCAAGGAAGTAAGGAAGTTGTTGATTCTGCTTGTGTTTGGCATTGGGGGTGTGGTGGTGATGGTAGGGTTGATGGAGAAAGGGTGTTATGTGAGGGTTGGCAGTGTGTAATAATGAATTTAATTTCCAGTTTAGATGTTTGACTATGGGCAGCTTTAAGCCTCATTCCTTTCTCTTCCCCATCCAGCCAACATTTGGAGAACGTGATTAAAAAAGGAGTTTCTTATAACAAATTAGATACAAATATGTCTGAACTTAACCATTAGAACTATTGTATTGCCTCAATTTCCCAGTCAAAGCACCTATTGTCCTAAAATATTTTCTAGTGCACAACGGAAATCTTAATAATGAATAAACAAAATAAATCTTTTGCTCTATAATTAGCTTGAAAAAATGTTACCCCGTGGACCTCCTCTCTACTTATCAAATAACACCTTTTCCTTATTGAAAAAGGACCCAATGTTAATGAACACAGACCTTCACAGATAGACACTCATTATGTTATTCTGGTCAAGGGCACATTCCTGTGTTGCAGGCTTGGGGCATGCAGGAGGTAGCCAATCAATGAGTTTCTCTCATCATTGATGTTTCTATCTTTGTCTCTCCCTCTCCCTTCCTCTCTGAAATCAATAAAAATGTATTTTTATAAAAATCAGAGAATAGCCAAAACTGGTTTGGCTCAGTGGATAGAGCATCGGCCTGCAGACTGAAAAGTCCCAGGTTTGATTCTGATCAAGGGCATGTAGCTTGGTTGCTGGCACATCCCCACTATGGGGTGTGCAAGAGGCAGCTGATTGATGATTCTCATTGATGTTTCTAACTCTCTATCCCTCTCTCTTCCTCTCTGTAAAAAAATCAATAAAATATATATATTTTTAAAAAGAGAACAAAACCAAACCAAAAATGCTCAGAAAATTCTTTAAAAAGTGAAGTATGGTTTCTACTTTAACACCATCATAAAGTCAAAAAATCTTAAGTCCAACTATTATTAAGTCCAGCATTGTCTATACTTATTATACATTATATTAATACTAGAGGCCCAGGGCATGAAATTCGTGCAGAGGGGAGGGGGGGCAGTGTCCCTCAGCCTGTCCTGCACCATTTCCAATCTGGGAGCCCTTGAAGGATGTCCTACTGCTAATTTATAGGGATCAGGCCTAAACTGGCAGTCAGACATTCCTCTTACAATCTGGGAATGTTGGCTCCTAACCACTCACCTGCCTGATTGCCCCTAACCACTGTGCCTGCTGGCCTGCTTGCCCCAACTGCCTCCCACCATCGGCCTGCTCCCCCACAAATGCCCCCCCACAACCTGATTCCCCACAATGGCCCCCCATGCTGGCCTGCTCACTCCAAACTGCTCCTCCTGCTGTCCTGATCACCTCCAATTAATTCCACTAATGGGGTGATGGACTGAGGGCTATCTTCAGGTTGGCCACACCCTCTTCAGGGTGGGGGTCCCCACTTGGGTGCCTGGGCAATCTGGGTGAGGAGCTGAGGGCTGTTTTCAGGCTTGCCACACACCCCGGTGATTCAGGCCCCCAGTCCCTCCTTTTTTTCTTTTCTTTCTTTTATTTCAGCACCTCCTTGAGAATATGCCAGGGCTGGCCAGGTCCAGCCAGGGCAGTCAGGAAGCTTGGTTTCCTCCATTGCCGGGGGCAACCCGAGTCTCCTGGTTGCTCCAGTTCCATGGGCACCACCATC